CAACTGTGCGTTTTTAGCCTAAAACGTCCAAACTGTGCGTTTTCAGGCCAACTGTGCGTTTTCAGGCCAACTGTGCGTTTTCAGCCTAAAACGTCCCAACTGTGCGTTTTCAGGCTAACTGTGCGTTTTCAGGCCAACTGTGCGTTTTCAGGCCAGCTGTGCGTTTTCAGCCTAAAACGTCTCAACTGTGCGTTTTCAGGCCAACTGTGCGTTTTCAGGCCAGAAACAGGCCAACTGTGCGTTTACAGGCTCAACTGTGCGTTTTCAGCCTGAAACAGGCCAACTGTGCGTTTACAGGCTCAACTGTGCGTTTTCAGCCTAAAACGTCCCAACTGTGCGTTTACAGCCTAAAACATCCCAACTGTGCGTTTACAGGCTCAACTGTGCGTTTTCAGCCTGAAACAGGCCAACTGTGCGTTTACAAGCTCAACTGTGCGTTTTCAGCCTGAAACAGACCAACTGTGCGTTTTCAGGCCAACTGTGCGTTTATGGGCTCAACTGTGCGTTTTTAGCCTGAAACAAGCCAACTGTGCGTTTATGGCCCAACTGTGCGTTTACAGCACGAATTGTGCGTTTTCAGGCCAATTGTGCGTTTATGGGCTCAACTGTGCGTTTTCAGCCTTTAAACGGCCCAACTGTGCGTTTACAGCACGAATTGTGCGTTTTCAGCCTAAAACATCCTAACTCTGCGTCTCAGAGTTCATTACGCTGCGCGGCCAGTGCGTTCAGCCACCAGAATAGGCCCAACTCTGCGTTTTTAGTCTAAAAACGCAGAGTTCGGGCCCTGAACGCTATTTTTCAGCGTTTGACTCGTTCAAAGCACGTAATGAACAGTTCCAGGAACTGTTTTTCCCCACGATTTGAGGGATTTTCGCCCCACTTAAGAGCGGATTAAGGGGGTAGTTACCACCCTAAATCCCCTATAAATAGTGGGAAACTCAACTGAGTTCGGATCCTTCTTTTTTGGGCAGCAAAGAAGCGATCTGCGGCTTTTGGCTCTGGGCTCTGGAATCCTTCTTTTTG